TTTAGCCCACGATGAGCCGACAACTTGGATCCCTCCATCGCTCAAATTCCCACCCAGCCAACCTCCAAACTCAAATCCCAATAATCCCACTTTTTGCTTTCCCACCACCCGATTTTCCAATTATTAATATACCATCAAGCACGAAATCTGATACTAACTCAGATATTTCAGTTTTTCATACTATCTCACAATTTAATAACTCCAATGTAGAAACCCCCGACGAATTTGCAGACTCCGAACCATCTCCCTCTACCCATACCCAGACCAACTCCTCAGTTTTTTCACAACCCTCTTTTCGACCCATCCAATCCAGTCATCCACTCCCATCCCTTTCCACTCCTTCTTACGCTTCCCAAAAAACCCCAACCTGTTCTCCACTTCATTCCGACAGATCATATAATAATTCCCCAGATACCCTCCAAATTTCCGAAGAACTCGACAATTTTATTACATTACAACACCAATTAAAACACCCCAACACTCTCACAATACATCAACTATCATCCACAATGACATCCTCAAATCCACCAACTCCTACACCCTCCTCAGCCTACACTCTAACATTAGCTCAATCATCCGCATCCACCGAAACACCTACCAGTACTAACTGAGCTTATCGCACTTTTAAACGAAAATTCCCAAATCACCCTTTCCCAACCAAACCCGGAACAGCCCGCGAATATATCAATCACCAGGAACACACAAACACAAAAAATTTTCTGGAAATCGCCTTACCCTCGTTTCCGCAATATACATTAAATACACCTACCATTGCTAACGAAACACGAAATTTTGTTGATGAACACGTTTTATTGCCAACACTTCATTGGACAGCTTATTATAATTATACTAACCCCCTTTGCCTACCATTAGCTAATACTACTGAAAATATCGAGAAAAATAAAATTATATTATATAGACTCACCACATCATTAACACCTCGACAATTTACTTACGTTGAATATAGAAAAGTATTAAAAACATTCACCGCACCCCGAGCTAACGATTTTTCAATAGAATACTACGATCATAAAATCATCCGTCCTAACCAAGATAAATTTTTAGATGAAGATCGCTTCGCAAACCCGCAACTAACAGAAAATTTTTTTATTAAAACATCATACGTATTTACACTTAATATTTTTGATAGAAAGCATGTTCATATTATTTCAGAAGCACTAGTTGATATTCAAGCATATGAAAACTTCTATGATAAATTTCAGTACAAGAACGCGATTTGAACTGTTCTCACGATATTATGTTACGCACTAAACAAACGCACACTTATATTTATTATCGTTTTATACAAAATCATTTTGATTTACACACTCCATCAAGACAACCTCACCATCGTTTTCAGTTTCTTAACTCAAAATACACGTCACCATTTTTTCTAAATTTTACATAAAAATACTAACCTCCACGGCATCCTCCGCAACTATGGCCCAGTTACCCAAATTTATATATTCTGTCCCGCACAAAGACCTTCAATGATGAAGAATCAAGACCCTTCATTATCCCGCATGAATTTATACAACCTATTGAAATACACATATTAGAATTTGTTCAAATTACTAAATATAATCATAAAATCTATAACCTCATCCAAAACACACCTTATGAGTTCGCAGTAGGCACAGAAGAACTAAACACCATCAACGCACTTCAATTGCTTTGGCCACTGCTACAAACTAAAAATGTCATACCCATACTAGCCAAAGTACTAACAACATCAGACATGATTCGCGACATCTTCCCCCACGGCTTTTTCCCAGAATACTAAGGTAAATATGAAATAAATTACTTTTAACTAATAAATTCAAATTCGTACTAACCATTTTCTATCAACGTTTAATTCATTCTTTTACTCTTTACACCACAATCATCTACAAAACAGAAAAAGACAAATAAAAATGTAAACTTGTTAAAACTATATTCAACTCATTAATTTTACGCACTAAATACTGCAGTCAAAAAATTCATACCAAATGTAGTAATCTCATTTATTAATTATTTCCCCACAAAGCAGTAAAATTAAAGTACGACGAAAAATTTTTTTATAATTTTAAACTTCCCCAAAAAGCAGTAAAATTCAAATTCTATGCAATTAATTAATAAAAAGAGCAAGCAGTACTAACCTTCTCAATATTTTCTTTCATTCGCACAAGAATTCTATCCCAACTCGCACAGCTCGCCCACGAAGAACTGTTGAAATAATGATTTTAAGTTTCAAGCTTTCACTATCAACAACTCTAACACGCGATAACAAGTTTCAAACTTTCCTTTAACCCGGTTGGAAAGGAATTATACACTAAACCAAACTAACCAATGCAGCTTACTAACTTACTAAACACCACAAATCATAAAATAACAGCATGACTAAGAAAAGAAAACCAACGGTACCGAAACCGGATTAACCCAGTTTAAAACTGGATAATTTCTTCTATTATAAAGTCTAAGAAAAAAATAATAAAACACAAAAAAGTCGCAAGACAAACCCAAAGCAAAAACAATTTGATTTTTGAAAAAAGGACACAACCAAAGTGACATAAGAAAGACCAGAAAAAAAACCAACATAAAATGTTATCACATAACAGGACCTCTCAAAGAAACAGCATGCAATCATACTCCCACTCCTGGCCTAACCCACCAGAAAAGGACGTCCTGAGCATGCTTATAGCCGGTATAACCCACCGCGCTACACCCACGCTTTGTGACCACACTTCAATTTTTAATAAGATGTACTCAAGGGTGAGTAACTCTTCAAAATAACTGAACTAAAATAAAACGCTTTTGTGAAAACGACTTGCTAAGTTCAAGATTGAAAAAACAAAATTAACAAAAATTTATATAACGCAAATCATACTATGCAGTATATAGATCATACACAACAACAAAGACGAACATCCAAAGACTAGACGATCCCATCACACTCGAACAAAAGAATGGCTAAACACAACCGACATGCCGTCCACAATCACGACTCAAAGGATTTAGAGTGCGACCTGACTTCGCACAAAAGGACTTCATTGAAGTAGACCAATGACCACCTCGATGTTCAAGTATACGTACAGATCCGAGTTACAAGGCATCCCTTCCAAACACGATCTTCACGCCATTCCCAGACGAGGCTGCACATCAAACAGTTCTCTACTAATACAGAAAAACCTGACATAGCAAACCATTTTGAAATCGGATTGTTTCATTGGGGATCACAGTCGTTGTCGAGTGACAAAGTAACAATTTCCTAACCCTGATTCCATTGTCCTGGAATGTTCTTCTTCAAGAGGAACCGGATAAGAAAATGATGTTCGCCAAATACCAACGTTCATCATCCATCCTTCAATTGCAGAAAGAAAGATAGTTCTAAAAAACTCTGTAAACCCCGGATGGGTGGAACCTGATCTAAACTACATTTTATTTTTGGTTATACATTGGATACTTTATCTCTATAAAATATTTAATATTAACCAATCACGATCCATCTAACTAACAATCCACTTATTTGTAAGTGCTGAAATTACTTGTAATTTCAGCACCAGAGAGATTTGAATTTAACTTAGAAATTAGTTATCTCTCCAAGCAGTCGCAATAAGCCAATATACTCTAGATCTATTGAGCCTAGCAGAGACTAGTTAAACACCCTGAGACTAGTCGATATAAGAGTAACATTAGGATCGGTATTAGACTAAGAAGTTGCACGAATCTATCCGGCCGAAAATAAGATAGCGTGACGAGCAGACGGTGTACCCTATCCGAAATTACTCTATGAGTTAACCTCAAGGACCTAACTCGCTAAAGTCGTCACTGATTGGCGAATCTTTATATAGAACCAGGAATCAAGGAAGGGAGATGGGTGACTAGATGCGAAAGCATATCATACTAGACCACTATTATAAGCAGTCTTCTGCTTTTATTGAGAAATATTAACACTGCTTATAATAGTGGTGTCGAATAGTTTATGGTTTCGTGATATTTCGAGAAATACAGAATTTTAGGCTAATAATTTTAAATTTTAGTGTGAAATGATAAGAAAGTTCATGTTATCAAAATGACCCATTAGGTTGACTCAAAAAAGTTCGGAACAATTAAGTAGTGTGAGATGAAGCACCACGAATAAAAACATCAAGGTATCAGACAATCAGTCGTGTTAGGTTATTATAGTGGTGCGTGAACTCAGCGGGACCACGAAGATTCAGAGGTCGATTACACAGGGGCAATTTCTTGAAGACTGGTCTGAATTAGAGAAAAAAGACATCCCGAGCATGAATATTCCTCACTTTCTTTGAAGTTCGGTGCAAATTGAATATAAATTTGAAATAACGTGGCATTTCAAATTGTCGAAAAGTTGAAAACTAAAGAAAAAAAGATCAAAATTTACTGTATAACTTATTTTTTTTTTTCGGCAAACCGCTGGTTCTTTTTCCTTACCACAACCCGCACGAGCAGATTTTTTATGGTCGGTGAACGGAGTGGGTTTACAAAGTTAAGTATGCAGACTAAAAATTTTATTTCGGCCTAAACAGTCCGCGTGTCAGTTTTGATAACAATTAGAAAATGTGAAAAAATCCACACTCTATTTTTGCACTAAAAAGTTTTTGGGAAAAAGAAAAGAGCCACAAACCGCTTTCTACAGCCAAACCAATTTTGTTTTAGAAAAAATCATAAATGGATCTCTAATGATCTCTCTGATTCTGTTCAGCGCAGTTTGTAAGTCCAGTTGAATTAATTTTTTCAAATCATACTGGGATTCTTTTTTGAATTTGAGCTCAGGACGTCAATTGTATGGCCTATAATTGTATCCTTTTCTTATTACTGTTTGTAATTTTTGATCGCGGAAATCGAAAAAAGCGGAACCATTTCTGTATCATATCTGCTTAATTTCATTTAACTTGACTTTTGTATTCTTAATTTTTTTTCGCGAAGTTTTAAGTTTATGTTTGATAACTATGCAGTCGAACCTACAGTGCCTGAATTATTTTGTTGTGTGGTGTGTTCAGGAAACACTGGAAATGTGTTCCAAGGAGGCCGAGTTCAAGAGTATTCTGTTCTCGCTGTGTTACTTCCACGCAGTGGTGGCAGAGAGACGCAAATTTGGACCCCAGGGCTGGAATAGGGTTTACCCATTTAACACAGGCGACCTGACAATCTCCGCAATGGTTTTGTTCAACTACCTCGAAGCAAATAATAAGGTCAGCTCACACATATAGTTCAAACTAGTGAACAAATTATGTACAGGAGCAATCTTGTTCAACTTCTTTCTTAATTTTTCTGCTCAACTCATGAAAAAGTCGAATTTCCAGTGAAATGTAAAGTAATTCATTAGATGAGTGTAAAATGTGGAGTGTTCGAAAATTTTCGCTCGCTCCGTGAAAGTCAATGAGCGGTACTTACATATGCTGGAAATTAATCCCGGAGATGGGCGGCAACAGAGAGTGTGTAATAAATTAATCCTTGAGATGGACGGCAACAGTTATTGAGCGAGACTTACATATACTGGAAGTTAACCCTTGAGATGGACGGTAACAGAGAGTGTATAATAAATTAATCCTTGAGATGGACGGCAACAGTTATTGAGCGGGACTTACATATACTGGAAGTTAACCCTTGAGATGGACGGTAACAGAGAGAGTGTAATAAATTAATCCTTGAGATGGACGGCAACAGTTATTGAGCGGGACTTACATATACTGGAAGTTAACCCTTGAGATGGACGGTAACAGAGAGAGTGTAATAAATTAATCCTTGAGATGGACGGCAACAGTTATTGAGCGGGACTTACATATACTGGAGGTTAACCCTTGAGATGGAAGGTAACTGAGAGTGTGTAATAAATTACTCCTTGAGATGGACGGCAACAGTTATTGAGCGGGACTTACATATACTGGAAGTTAACCCTTGAGATGGACGGTAACAGAGAGAGTGTAATAAATTAATCCTTGAGATGGACGGCAACAGTTATTGAGCGGGACTTACATATACTGGAAGTTAACCCTTGAGATGGACGGTAACTGAGAGTGTGTAATAAATTAATCCTTGAGATGGACAGCAACAGTTATTGTGCGGGACTTACATATACTGGAAGTTAACCCTTGAGATGGAAGGCAACAGAGAGTGTGTAATAAATTAATCCTTGAGATGGACGGCAACAGTTATTGAGCGGGACTTATATTGGCTGTAAATTAATCCCGGAGATGGAAGGCAACAGAGAGTGTGTAATAAATTAATCCTTGAGATGGACGGCAACAGTTATTGAGCGGGACTTATATTGGCTGTAAATTAATCCCTGAGGTGGAAGGTAACAGAGAGTGTGTAATAAATCCTTGAGCTGGACGGCAACAGTTATTGAGCGGGACTTACATATACTGGAAGTTAACCCTTGAGATGGACGGTAACAGACAGAGTGTAATAAATTAATCCTTGAAATGGACAGCAACAGTTATTGAGCAGGACTTATATTGGCTGGAAATAAATCCCCGAGGTGGAAGGTAACAGAGAGTTTGTAATAAAATAATCCTTGAGATGGACGGCAACAGTTATTGAGCGGGACTTACATATACTTACATATACTGGACTTAAATATACTGGTAACAGTGAGAATGTAATAAATTAATCCTTGAGATGGACGGCAACAGTTATTGAGCGGGACTTATATTGGCTGGAAATTGATCCTTGAGGTGGAAGGTAACAGAGAGAGTGTAATAAATTAATCCTTGAGATGGAAAGCAACAGTTATTGAGCGGGACTTACATATACTGGAAATTAATCCTTAAAATAGGTGGTAATAGAGAGAGTGTAGTAAATTACTCCTTGAGATGGACGGCAACAGTTATTGAGCGGGACTTACATATACTGGAAGTTAACCCTTGAGATGGACGGTAATAGAGAGAGTGTAATAAATTAATCCTTGAAATGGACGGCAACAGTTATTGAGCGGAACATATATTGGCTGGAAATTAATCCTTGAGGTGGAAGGTAACAGAGAGAGTGTAATAAATTAATCCTTGAGATGGACGGCAACGTATATTGAGCGGGACTTATATTGGCTGGAAACTAATCCCTGAGGTGGAAGGTAACAGAGAGAGTGTAATAAATTAATCCTTGAGATGGAAAGCAACAGTTATTGAGCGGGACTCATATATGCTGGAAACTTATCCTTGAGATAGGCGGTAACAAAGAGAGTGTAGTAAATTACTCCTTGAGATGGACGGCAACAGTTATTGAGCGGGATTCTGACATATACTGGAAGATAACCCTTTAGATGGACGGTAATAGAGAGAGTGTAATAAATTAATCCTTGAGATGGAAAGCAACAGTTATTGAGCGGGATTTATATATGCTGGAAACTAATCCTTGAGATAGGCGGTAACAGAGAGAGTGTAGTAAATTACTCCTTGAGATGGATGGCAACAGTTATTGAGCGGGACTTACATATACTGGAAGTTAACCCTTGAGATGGACGGTAACAGAGAGAGTGTAATAAATTAATTCTTGAAATGGGCGGCAACAGTTATTGAGCGGGACATATATTGGCTGGAAATTAATCCTTGAGGTGGAAGGTAACAGAGAGAGTGTAATGAATTAATCCTTGAGATGGAAATCAACAGTTATTGAGCGGGACTTATATATGCTGGAAATTAATCCTTGAGATAGGCGGTAACAGAGAGAGTGTAGTAAATTACTCCTTGAGATCGACGGCAACAGTTTTTGAGCGGGTCTTACATATACTGGAAGTTAACCCTTGAGATGGACGGTAACAGAGAGAGTGTAATAAATTATTCCTTGAAATGGACGGCAACAGTTATTGAGCGGGACATATATTGGCTGGAAATTAATCCTTTAGTTGGAAGGTAACAGAGAGAGTGTAATAAATTAATCCTTGAGATGGAAAGCAACAGTTATTGAGCGGGACTTATATATGCTGGAAACTAATCCTTGAGATAGGCCGTAACAGAGAGAGTGTAGTAAATTACTCCTTGAGATGGACGGCAAAAGTTATTGAGCGGGACTTACATATACTGGAAGTTAAACCTTGAGAGAGACGGTAATAGAGAGAGTGTAATAAATTAATTCTTGAAATGGGCGGCAACAGTTATTGAGCGGGACATATATTGGCTGGAAATTAATCCTTGAGGTGGAAGGTAACAGAGAGAGTGTAATGAATTAATCCTTGAGATGGAAATCAACAGTTATTGAGCGGGACTTATATGTGCTGGAAACTAATCCTTGAGATAGGCGGTAACAGAGAGAGTGTAGTAAATTACTCCTTGAGATCGACGGCAACAGTTATTGAGCGGGTCTTACGTATGCTGGAAGTTAACCCTTGAGATGGACGGTAACAGAGAGAGTGTAATAAATTAATTCTTGAAATGGGCGGCAACAGTTATTGAGCGGGACATATATTGGCTGGAAATTAATCCATGAGGTGGAAGGTAACAGAGAGAGTGTAATGAATTAATCCTTGAGATGGAAATCAACAGTTATTGAGCGGGACTTATATATGCTGGAAACTAATCCTTGAGATAGGCGGTAACAGAGAGAGTGTAGTAAATTACTCCTTGAGATCGACGGCAACAGTTATTGAGCGGGTCTTACATATACTGGAAGTTAACCCTTGAGATGGACGGTAACAGAGAGAGTGTAATAAATTAATCCTTGAAATGGACGGCAACAGTTATTGAGCGGGACATATATTGGCTGGAAATTAATCCTTTAGTTGGAAGGTAACAGAGAGAGTGTAATAAATTAGTCCTTGAGATGGAAAGCTACAGTTAGTGAGCGGGACTTATATATGCTGGAAACTAATCCTTGAGATAGGCCGTAACAGAGAGAGTGTAGTAAATTACTCTTTGAGATGGACGGCAAAAGTTATTGAACGGGACTTACATATACTGGAAGTTAAACCTTGAGAGAGACGGTAATAGAGAGAGTGTAATAAATTAATTCTTGAAATGGGCGGCAACAGTTATTGAGCGGGACATATATTGGCTGGAAATTAATCCTTGAGGTGGAAGGTAACAGAGAGAGTGTAATGAATTAATCCTTGAGATGGAAATCAACAGTTATTGAGCGGGACTTATATATGCTGGAAACTAATCCTTGAGATAGGCGGTAACAGAGAGAGTGTAGTAAATTACTCCTTGAGATCGACGGCAACAGTTATTGAGCGGGACATATATTGGCTGGAAACTAATCCTTTAGTTGGAAGGTAACAGAGAGAGTGTAATAAATTAATCCTTGAGATGGAAAGCAACAGTTATTGAGCGGGACTTATATATGCTGGAAACTAATCCTTGAGAAAGGCCGTAACAGAGAGAGTGTAGTAAATTACTCCTTGAGATGGACGGCAAAAGTTATTGAGCGGGACTTACATATACTGGAAGTTAAACCTTGAGAGAGACGGTAATAGAGAGAGTGTAATAAATTATTTCTTGAATTGAACGGCAACACTTATTGAGCGGGACTTATATTAGCTGGAAATTAATCCTTGAGGTGGAAGGTAACAGAGAAAGTGTAATAAATTAATCCTTGAGATGGAAAGCAACAGTTATTGAGCGAGACATATATTGGCTGGAAATTAATCCTTGAGGTGGAAGGTAACAGAGAGAGTGTAATGAATTAATCCTTGAGATGGAAAGCAACAGTTATTGAGCGGGACTTATATATGCTGGAAACTAATCCTTGAGATAGGCCGTAACAGAGAGAGTGTAGTAAATTACTCCTTGAGATGGACGGCAAAAGTTATTGAGCGGGACTTACATATACTGGAAGTTAAACCTTGAGAGAGACGGTAATAGAGAGAGTGTAATAAATTAATTCTTGAATTGAACGGCAACACTTATTGAGCGGGACTTATATTGGCTGGAAATTAATCCTTGAGGTGGAAGGTAACAGAGAAAGCGTAATAAATTAATCCTTGAGATGGAAAGCAACAGTTATTGAGCGGGACATATATTGGCTGGAAATAAATCCTTGAGGTGGAAGGTAACAGAGATAGTGTAATGAATTAATCCTTGAGATGGAAATCAACAGTTATTGAGCGGGACTTATATATGCTGGAAACTAATCCTTGAGATAGGCGGTAACAGAAAGATTGTAGTAAATTACTCCATGAGATGGACGGCAACATTTATTGAGCGGGTCTTACATATACTGGAAGTTAACCCTTGAGATGGACTGTAACAGAGAGAGT